TGAATTCCTTCTTTAAAGGCCCCCTCTGCAAACGTAGTCACAGTCTGAGGTACTGGCCGTTGGGACCTCAGCATATGACTTTGGGGAGGGACATAATTCAGTCTACAACACACAGGTGCCATGTGTCACTCTCGGGACCAAGGGCAGTGACAAGAAATCCACATCAGTGGGGGCACCTGGGTGGCTCTGTCGGTTGAGCGTCCAACTTCGGCTCGGGTCATGATCTCACAGTTGGAGGGTCCGAGCCCCGCGTCGGGTTCTGTGCTGACGGCTCAGAGCCTGGAGCCTGCTTGGGATTCTGTGTCTCCCTTTCTCTCTCTCTGCCCCTCCCCCGTTCACACTCTGTCTCTCTCTCTCTCTCCTTCAAAATTAAATAAACATTTAAAAAAAAAAATAGAAGAAATCCACAGCGATGGGCTCTTGTGGGCTGGCAGTCCCCACTCTGAGCAGCTGCCGGGGTCATGCTGCCCCAGGCGTGGTCCTAGCCGAGCTGTGTCAGGGAGCAAGCTCACGGGTGGGGTTCCGACTTCGAGACCCCCAGGGCATTGCCTCTAACCAGATGCAGGTAGGCCTTCGCTGATTCATTCGACAAACACTGAACTGAGGGCCGAGTCCCTTACCCTCCCAGATCAGGCCTTACATCCCTCACCTGCACTTGGACCCCCCCCCTTCTGGAAGTTCATCCTGCCTCCTATCCTGCCCTCACCATGCCTTCCTACTTCCTGCTCCAAAAATGCCGGTCTCCTCTTTCTCCCCATTTAAAAGCTGCTGGGGGCTCCTCAATGCCTTGTTCCCTATAAGATCTTCCTGGTCCGAGCCCTGCCTCCTGACCCCCGTGTTCCCCTGCGGTCACACCAGACTCCAGCCAGTCACTGCAAAAGCCGCGAGGCTCCCCACCTGGCGTCCCCTCTGGGGCCTCGCTGCACCCCTCAGTCCCGCCCGATGCGGGACTCGAACTCACGAACTGCGAGATCATGACCCGAGCCAAAGTCGGATGCTCAACCGACGGAGCCACCCAGGCTCCCCTGTTCTAGCATTTGGTACACGGTTCCACCTTACTGCTTTCCTTCACTGTCATACACATGGTTTACAGTTCACTGCCTTTTTTTTTTTTTTTTTTTTAATGCTTCTTTATTTTGAGAGAGAGCACAAGCAGGGGGAGAGGGCAGAGGGAGAGACGGAGAGAAAGAACCCCAAGCAGGCTCCACACTGGCAGCGCAGAGCCCAGTGGAGGGCTCGAACCCACAAACTGTGAGATTGTGACCTGAGCTAAAATCAAGAGTCGGACACTTAACCCACTGGTCCACCCAGGCGCCCCCACAGTTCACCATCTTGAGGCAGAGAGTCTTGGACGGAGGCTGGAGGGCCACCGCCGTCCAGAAGGATGGCCATCTGTGGCCCAATTGCACTGTTTACGAGACCCGTCCATCTTATTACCGGTGTCAGCACTTGGGTTTTTCTGTTGTGTACACGTTTTTTTTTTTATAAAATAAGGCCAAAATGCAACACGCAGCGTTCTGTTTAATAATGGAATCCTTTCCATTATCATGATGTTATCTAAAAGCCCACCAAGTAAGCCCAGATAAACATGTGGGCCTGGGGTGCTTCCCCAAAGCACAGCTGGAAAACTCCAGCATCCTACCCATCCCCCAGCTGCCGTCCTGCCGGCATCTGATGCAGGCAGCACTCTCCCGAGAGAAATCGATGTGTTCTGGGCTTGCTAAGTGGCGGGTGAGGAGGCAATGACAGGGGTCAGGACCCTGGCTGTCGGTGACAGCAACTTGGCTGGTCAGCCTGCGCAGAACTGGGAGTTGAGTCTCTCACGGACAGGGGAAGGCCAGGGTGGAGTGGCCTCGGGGACAACCACAGCCAGGCGCCCCCCGATCGCCGCCCCCCCCCCCAACACACACATTCCCAGGCTCACAGCTCTGGGACCAGACGTCCCTTCTCCCCAAGGAGAGAAGGGCCCAGAGGCTTCGAGGGGCGTCTTGGGAAGGAAGGGCATTTCTGCACAGACAGAAAACAGCATGTGGCCAATTCAGCACTATTTTCCAGACTTCATGAAGACTGCAATAAAAAAATCTATTTTATTTTATTTATTAGTTTATTTTGTGAAAGAGAGAGAGAGAGAGAGAGAGAGCAGGGGAGGGGCCGAGAGAGAATCCCAAGCAGGTTCCACACTGTCAGGGCAGAGCCCGAGGCGGGGCTCAAACTCACGAACCGTGAGATCACGACCTGAGCTGAAATTGAGAGTCAGACGTGCCACCAACGGAGCCACCCAGGCACCCCTAAAAAATCGATTTTAAAAGCCACAGACCCACACAGGAAATTTTATAACAGCATCTATCTATCTATCTCTACCACACACACAACACTATTTATCTTTAATTTAATTCTTGGTTACAGAGGTACCTCCAAAGTCTTAGTGCAGTTTTAAGTTTTAATAACTTAAGAAATGCGAATGCTACAGAGCTACAATACACATAGTTGAATATTTACTTATTTAAATTCCTTTTATACTTAGCTTCCTGACATTTGAAGGCTAAGGTTTTCATTTTAACTCTTTGTGTGCCAGAGTCCGCATGGATAGGCAGGTAGAGGAGTCCTCTCCCATGGGCACCTTGGTGAGCTGGTCGACCCCCCCCCTTAAAATCATGTTCAAGCTGTCAAGGGGCGCCCTGGTGGCTCGTCGGTTGGGCGTCCGACTTCGACTCAGAACATGATCTCACGGTTCACGGGTTTGAGCCCCGCGTCGGGCTCTGTGCTGACAGCTTAGAGCCTGGACCCTGCTTTGGATTCTGTGTCTCCCTCTCTCTCTGCCCCTCCCCTACTTGTTCTCTCTCTCTCTCTCTCTCTCTCTCTCTCTCTATTTCTCAAAAATAAATAAACATTTAAAAAATCACCAATTTCACAGTTCAAAGACCCATTGAACCATAGCATTTAAAAATGTAGCATTTTTAAAATATATTAAGAGAAATCCATGTATCTCCATGCATATTAGAAAATCCAAATTATACTGAAATGTGTAAGATAAAAACAAAAGGCTGCCTCCCCCAGCCCCTCTCCCCAAAGGTAGCCACTAACAGTGTCTTGTGTGTCCTTCCAGAAAACTTTTCCTCGGCGATTATGAGTATGTATGTGCGTTTCCATTTTTATATTTACACCCAGAAGATGGCCCCTCTCACACTATGCTGCTTCTTGCTTTTTCCCGTTGGAAATTTGTCCTGATGCATTTTTCACATCAGTGTGTATGGCTGCCTCCTTGTTAAAATTTTTTAATGTTTATTTATTTTTGAGAGAGAGAGCGAGAGAGACAGAGCATGAGCAGGGGAGGGGCAGAGAGAGAGGGAGGCACAGAATCCGAAGCAGGCTCCAGGCTCTGAGCTGTCAGCACAGAGCCCGACGCGGGGCTCAAACTCATGAACCGTGAGATCATGACCTGAGCTGAAATCAAGAGTCGGTCACCCAACAGACTGAGCCACCCAGGCGCCCCTGGCTGCCTCCTTTTTAATGCACACTGATGCATGGTGTGTGTGTGTGCTGTGATATATTCAACCTGTTAGTATTTTGGTGAACATGTTAACCAAATATATGGAACTTTAAGGATGAACATTCCAGTGGTTTCCAGTTTGGATTGGTTTCTGCGGCACAAAATCAGAGTCACTGTAGGAAAACCCGGACAGATGGTTTTCCAGTCCAGAGCAGGTCCCTAGCAGTGGGTGTGCTGGGTCACAGGGGTGTCTCCTTACCCTGCCTCCCCCGAAGGGGCCTGCCCCCGCCCCCTCCCCACAGCCACAAAGATGCTTTGCTGGGCAAACTTCTCGGGGCATCTGGACACCCAGGCGCCACGTACTGACCTGCGCTCTGGGCAACATCGCTCACATCTGACGCTGAGCTGGATGGAAACTGAATGGAGAGCCCTGCTCCCGGCTCCCGCCCGGCTCCCCCTGGCTGCCTTTTGTGAGCTACAGAAAGTCAAGGCCCTTCAGGGTTTGCCACTTACGACCCGCGGTTGGGCTCGTGCAGAATTGCAGCCCAGCTTCGCTCGCTCTGCCGTGAGGGACAGAGCTCCTCCGCTCTGCGGCCGCTCCTCCCTGCCCCTGCCGAGGCCGCCACCCTGGCTGCACCCCCCGGGCGCCGAGTCCCAGAGGCCTGGGCGTGCTGCCTTCGCCGCCCGGGGAGCTCACTCCGTGTGTGCCTCCCCCTTGTAAACCGGGGGTGTCTCCGGATCCGCCGGCCCGCTGTCCATCACAGCTCCTTGGGCCGCGTGTCCCCGGTGCCCCCCAGCATTCCTGCAGGCTGGAGTCACTCCTTCCTCCCAAGAAGGCCATCTCGGGACGCTCCTTCCAGCCGTCTGTTTATTGAGTCCATTCGTGGGAGAGCCGGGCTTCCAGGAGGTGGGGGAAATGGACACTGAAACGGGAGGAATGAGGTTCCGGGAGGCAGAGCCCACGAACGCACCTTCTCTGTGATGGCCCGGCCCCGGATGGCCCGCCAGTTTTCCTCTGGTGCCTTTGGTCACACCCAGAGTGAGGGATGGGAGTCCCCTGTCCCCTTACCAAAATGGCATCCACAGGCTTTGGCCAGCACCCACCCGGAAAGGGTAAAGAGACTGAGGCCCAAAGGTCAAAAGCACAGCACCTCGGGCCTTAACGTCTTGGCCAAACAGCATTAGCTCGGGGATCATACGGATTCCACCTGCTGGTTAACCGTGGCCCCCACCAGAGTCCTCCCGACCATGCCCAACAGACAGGCACCCGTGTGGGCTCAGGCTGGCCCTCGGCGGCCCCTTCCTCTCCTGACACTCTGCCCACCGCTGCCCCACCTCCCCAAGGCGGTCACCGGCCTCCAGTGCCCCCACCGCTGTGGCGCATCCCTCCTGCCCGGGGGCCAGGGTCAGGTCGCTTTCACCAAGGGGTCGGGGACGCCTGGGTGGCGGTATCCGAGTAAACCGTGTCGAGCTCCGGGCACCGGGCGCTGACTCTCTCTTTATCTTGCAGGAAGAGGAGCAGGAGCATGATGGCCAGGAGGACCCACCCCGAGCAGAGCCTGAGGAGGAAGATGGTGAGTGGGATCCCTGCCATCAGACTCTGGCCGGCCAGGAGAGGAGAGCAGGCGTGTCCGGGAGCGTTAAGGAAACTGGCCAGCTGGAACCCGAGCGGGTGGAAGGCGGTGGGCTTGTCCTGGGCACCCCCGGGGGCCAGTGCCCTGGACGGACAGAGGCAGAACCAAGCACGGTGTGGGTTTCCGCTGGGTCTGTCGTGTTTTATTTCTTAAAAACAAACAAAAAAATCAGGGGCGCCTGAGTGGCTCCATCAGTCGGTGAAGCGTCCGACTCTTGATCTCGGCTCAGGTCATGATCTCACAGTCTGTGAGTTCGAGACCCGAGTCAGGCTCTGAGCTGCTGGTGCGGAGCCTGCTTGGGATCCTCTCTCTCTCTCTCTCTCTCTCTCTCTCTCTCCTCCTGCCCCCTCAAAATAAATAAACTTAAAAACAAAAGCCAAGAAAACAAAAAACAGCAACATGTCAACATTTGTTCATCTACACGGCAAGTACACGGAGGATGTGCATTCGTGTATGTCCCAAGTAGTTCTCAATTTGTCAAAAGGCAAGACTGTTGCTGTGACTTTTGGCCGACTGCTGGCAGGGGCAGTGGAAAGAACGCGTTGCTGGAATGCAGTGACCACGGCTGGTGTGGGCGTGTGGGCTGGCGGTGCGGCTGCGCTGGGGGGCCCCCCGCACCCCGCTGAGGCCCCACAGGCCGCTGCGGCTTCTGTCAGTACTGCCTCAGGGGAAGAGGGAAGGGTAGGCAGCTGGGGAGCCCGGTGGGGGGGGACCCTGCTCTCCTAGCTTCTCCGTCATCTGGGGGTTAGAGACGCACGGGAACTGTGGCCCTGGGGTCTGTCCCTGCCTCGTGGCCCCAGGTGGCTGCAGGGATGCCAGAGGTGGGGGTCCCGTTAGTGACTTGGGGACACAGAAAGGGGCAGGAGCCGAGGCCGCTGGAGGCCCCGAGGCCAGGACAAGGGGAGGCTCACTAGCCCCACCCCCAGCCGTGTGCCTCATCACTGGGCCCTCCCTCCTTATCCGACTGCTGCCCCTGGACGGCCCCCAGCCCCCAGCCGCCACCTGCCAGCTCTGACAAGGCAGGGGAGGGGAGGGGAGGGCTATGGCCCCAGCTGTCAGAGGAAAGAAGAGTGGGCCCCCAGGCCCTCTGCAGCGAGCAGCTCAGCTCCCAGGCTAATTGATTAGTGTCGCTAAGATGCCCTTCCTAAGCAAATTGGTGAGTCAGTCACACAAGGCTGCGAGAAGTCCTCCTCCCCGGGAGGCTCTCACATCGAAACCCCCTGGTCTGGCTGGATTGGACGCGGCCGCGGATCACTCGGTACGCCACGTGCGATGTGATTAAGGGAAAAGCTTTTCCGGACGGACGTTCTTTCGTTCTGCCTGGCTCGGAAAACATAAAATCATCAGACCTGCCCGGTAAATTGAAACCTTGAGCAGCACCCAGCTGGCAGAATTAAAATCGCTTTTTTTTCTAAAACAGAGCAACACAATGACCTTGACGTTGAGGGTAATTGGGTTTCTTTGTTGCCTCTCTTGGAGGTCCAGAGCGAGCGGCGTAGTTGGTGGTTGGTGCGTTGGTCGGTGAGCTCAGTCTGAGACCGCAGCTCTCTGCGATTCCGCCCTTCGGGTTCTCAGGGCTTTCCTGGCAACCAGGGACCCAGGCCCCTCAGACAGGGGCTCGGAATTACTCAGCAAAGCACCCAGATCCTCACATGCAGGCAGGCCATACCTGGTGCTGTTGGGAGCCCCTGATCCTGCGGTCCCCAAGGACCCAGCCCTTGGTTTGTCAGCCTGAGCTGTGTTCCAGAAGAGCCGGCCGGCGGGGACCAGGGTCTCCAGTGGGGGATTGGGATGGGGGGGGTGGGAACGGATTCCCCTGTCTCTGCCCCAAGCCCTGTCTCACCCGGAGGAAGAACCAAGCCCCCCCTCCCCGACCACGCGGCCTGGCCCCTCTCTCTGCCACCCAGTGCCGCTGGCCTCCCTGCTTTACTGGATCTGTCTGCCAGACAGCACAGGGTTTGCTCCCTTCGACTATCATCTGCAAAACCCTTCCCGATGCCACCCCCACCCCATCTCCAGTGAAACTTCCAAGCAGCCCCCTCCCTGCCTCCCACACCCCTGTTCTTTCTGCAGAGCCCTCGTGACCAGCGTCAAACGCTGTATTTTACTTATCTTGGCTTGCTGCCCCTTTGATTCACGGCTAAGCCCCCAGCACCTAGCAGAGAGCTCACTTCATGTCTGCAGAAAGAATAAAGAGCCCATGAATCCTGGTACTAATGTAGGAACTTCTCCCTAAGGCAAGGCCACAGCCCCTGGGGCGCCCCAGGCCCCAGGCCGTCTGCCCTACACCTGCTGGGTTGAAGGACCACTTACGGCCATTGATTCCCAGGGCGGGGGGCTCTCTCCCTCCGATACTCAGCCCAGGGCTCCGCTCTGAAGCTCTTTTCTCTTCCGCCCTGGCAGTCTCTGCTCAGCACCTGCCCTGACTCCCTGTCGCACATTCCTGCCTTTCTCTGTCCAGACCTCTGGCGTGCCCTCTCATCGGGCCTCAAGATTGTTTGTTCTAAGGCGGCTAAGGAGTCTGCTCTCGGGGACTGGCAAATCCCGGTACACCTATTCAGTACTAGGCACCGGTTTGGATGCCCAAATTCAACACGGTGTGAAAGATCCCACATCACTCCTGTGAGCTGGATGCGTTGTTTCAGATTTCTGATAGCTGGTGGGCATCCCCCAAGCCCCAGAGCCTGGAGGACCTCGGCAGAAGGATCAGGAGTCCCTGTGCCACCCTCCGGGCCTGGGACCCGAGGAGAGGCAGGGAGCCCAGCACCTTGGCCCAGCCTGCTGGGTCTGATGTAATTCGCACAGCAGTAATGGGGGGGCGGGGGGGCGGCTTCAATGACGACGGTAGAGTGTCCTCGAAGGCAGCGGCTTGGCGGGAGCCTTTGCCAGACAGCTCTGTGGATGGCTCAACCCTGCCTTGGGGGAGGGGTCCAGCATTTGGTGGATGGAGCCATACCGTTTGGGGAGGGGGACTGATTTCTCTCCAACTATCTCATTTTTGTCTCTGTATCCCCATTTCGAGTCCCTAAGTCACTGTGGGATTTCATGGAAAGAGTGTGGGAGGGAGCCCTGCCAGTCGAGCAGAAAAGTCGCAGGTGCCCTCTCGGAGGCCTGGGCAGCACGTGCGTGGTCACCAGGGTGGACGGGGGGGGGGGGTGGAGGGAGGGACTCAGAGTCTGTGGGAGGCGCCCAGCCCCCTCCCCAGTCCCACGCGCCAGCTCTTACCCCCTTCCCCGTCTCCTCCCTGCAGGGGGAGAGGTCTTCTCCTTTAAATACAGCCCCGGGAAGCTGCGGGGAAACCAGTACAAGAAGATGATGACCAAAGAGGAGCTGGAGGAAGAACAGAGGTAGGCCGCACACCTTCCTCTCCAACGAGCAGGGGCTGTCTGGCCCCTGCCCTCGGGGGGCCAGGAGAGGAGGCGAGCTGAGCCTCGGGCCAGCTGCCTGCCCCCACCCCCTGCCAGCCTCCGTTTTGTTTTCGTTTCAGGGGTTCTTTCCTATCTGTCTGTCCTGCCTCCACTCAGCCGGGTGGGCTCGACTCCCCTGGAGAGGGTCCCCTCAGGGCGCTCGGGAGGACCCGCTGAGCCCCTCCCCTGCCCCACCCCGACCCCCTGCAGAGGGAAAAAGCGAGAGATGCCGGGGAAGAGCCTGGACCAGATAGAGTTCATGACAGAACCAATCTGTCACTTCAGGACAGAGCTCGATTCTTCCCGCTCGTCTCTCTGGCCGCTCCTCTCCGGCCCCTCCTCGCCCAGCGGCCGCCTTCCTTCTGTATCTGTTCTGCTCCGTGGAGCTCGGAGGCCGAGGCAGCCGTGTAGCGCCCCAGGTTTAGAGTCGGGCGCCCCCCACCCCCGCCGGACACCCCCCGCACATCCGTGGGCTAATCTCCACGGATCCTCTGCGCTCCGTCCCGCCGGCGTGCCAAGGAGCGCTCTGGAAACAGCAGGACAGCTGGGGAAGGGAGAACCGGGGGTCTGACCCCGAGCCCTGCCCGCTCGTTAGCACAAGCTGGGGTTCTCGGGTCACAGGGGACAGGGGGGTTTATTTTTCCAGAATGCATAACTCAGCCACCCTTTCATTGCCACTGGCCACACCACTCAGGGTCCCTCAAAAGTCAGAAGCCGCTCTGTCCACGAGAACCCGCATTTCCCTTCCTGCGGCTGTTCCCCGCTTCTTCCAAAGCCGGCCTGGAAGGCTCTTCCCCAGGGGCGGAGGGGTGGCGGTGTCGGCCCAGCGGGAGGACGACCCGGAACAGGGGGACCTGGCCTCCAGGGGAGCCCCCCCCCAACTCCTCCGTGCTGGTGACACTGCCTGTGGGTGTGATCCGGTTTGCTGCCTTTATATTTCAGGATTGAGCTGACCTCTGACCTCACTTCCCTGTAGCACGTTCCTTAGGTCCTGAGCCACACATAATCTTGCAAATCCTTTTGGTAAGGAGACGGACTTCTTAGACCACTGGTGCTTCCCCCCTCCTGTCTGTTAATGTGTCCCCAACATGACTGGCGTGGTCTAAACCTCCCCCATCCCCCCCGCCACCTTCATAACCAATTAATTCATTCTGTGCACCGAGCACCCAGCCGCCTCGTTCTTCGCCAGCACGGGGGTCGCTGGGTGACCAGGCCCCTCTCCCAGGGCTGCAGAGTCCTGGGAGCCCAGTGAACACGCGTCCCCCGTGGGCCTCATGGACCAGCTGGCGGGGAGCTAGCGCCCCCTTGTGAGGCTGGGCAGAACTGTGATTCCCCTGGGGACCAGGGAGGCTGCGGGGAAACCCGCTGGCTGTCCCCCTGCCACTTTGGTCCTGCAGAAGGTGATGCAGCTGATAAAACCTCGTGTGGCAAAAACCCCGGGCTCCCAAGTTGTGGGACAGGCAGGTTTTTCGGCTCAGAGGAAGGGGTGGCCGACTTCAGCCCTGGTCACTATGCTCAGTGTGACCAGAACACGGCCACTCTGGTTTTCCTGCGGCCTGTGGTGGCTTCTGCGCTGCTGTGGCCGGAGTGAGAAAGCCCACAAAGCCCAAAAGAGTCCGTATCGGGCCCTTTACAGAAACATTTCGCAGCCCCGGGATTAAGGATAGGCAGGGCTGGATGCACCTGTGGGCTCTCGAAGGTCCCCGTGGACGGAGCTGAGGTCCTGGTTCCCGGTGCTCAGAGGCTGTGAGGAGCCACTGGAACAGGAAGGACCAGTTAGGGGATGGATGCCAGGCCTCGGGCCAGGGGTCAGATGGCCGCTGTCGCTGGGCTCCGAGCTGGGACCTTGGCGATGGGGAGGGAAAGTCCCTTCTCTGTTATGTTTAGACAGCAGGGTCTTTCGCTACGGAGTCTTTGGGGACTTGTCATATACCAGTTTACACCTGGCTATTCCGTGCGGTGGAGACCGCGCCCTGGGTGTCGCTCTTGGGGCGAAGGGGGCGATCTCTCCTCATCTGTAGGCTGTGGTCATCACCGCTGTGCCCCAACTTGAGGGGCTAAACACCGTCCTCAAAGGGTGGAGCTGGAGTTCATGTTCATTTTCATTACCGCCCTCCCCCAGCATGCTCCCCGTGGCTGTTGGACGAGCCTGCCTGTGCCTGCTCCCTCCTGCCCCTGCGCACGCGGCCAGCTCACGCGGCACTGCATGGGGCCCCTTGACGCGCCACCCCTCTTAACGGCTGCTTCTGTTCCTTGCATGGCCACGCTTGGGGTTGCAGAGGCTGGCAGGTTTGGCTTTGTCTTTTCATCTACAGCACGGTGGTTCCCGTGTGGCCCGGGAGAGAGCCGACGGGTGCGAGGTAGCTCTGGTCCCAGCTGAGTCTAGGAGACGGCCCTGGAATCCCAGTATGGAAAAGAACAGGCATATTATTGTCAAACCGCTGCAACCACAGGCCAGCGAAAAGTCTGCTTCCTTCTCTGCCTGTCAAGATTCTTTCCGACCAAACTCTGCCTGTTTCTAATTCCGTTCCTGGCACTCCGGGTCCCAGTCGAGTTGCAAGCTAGTTAACAAATAAATGCTGTAAGTCCCCGACGTTAAATTTATCACCTCAGCCAACAGAGCCGTATCCAGAGCCCAAATCTTTAGTGGTCCCACTAAAGAGCATCCCCCAAAGCCTCACTTTATACGTTTTCAGAACACGGCCTTTAGGAAGCAGGACTAAACTCAAGACCCCAGATTGTTCTTCCGCGTGTTTAAACGGACATTCCCATCCTTAGAATCGCCCGCAGGTCAGGTTCCTTCTGCCCAAGGGGTCGGAAATGGTAAGGTTTGCAAATCCAGAGGCAGCTGCTGCCCAAGAATGAGCCCGCTTCTCACTGGCTGCACCCCCTCCTCCGAGGTGTCCCCTGGGGCCTAGGGCTCACAGGTATCCTCGGCACTGCCATGCCGGGCTGGGGGACTGTGCGTTCGCACCGAAGCTCCTCTGGGAGGCGCCCCATCCAGCCTCAGGGTGTAGCTGGGTTGGCGGGTTTGCAGGCTGCGGACCGCTCCTCCCCGCTCCCAGAGCTAGTGAAGCTGGAGGCTTGGCAGGAAAAAGAAAAAAAAAAAAAGCACCCCTGGCCACACCTGTCCTTGTATGCCATCCGTTCATCCCACCTTCCGGTCCAGAGGAAAGTGGCTCTGATGGATGGGAACCTGGGACCCCAGCACCCACTCCATTCTGAAGGTCCTCGGCAATGTCCTGACCTTTCTGGGTGTGGACACGACTCTAGTGGAAGGTGTGTTGTTCAGCATAACAGGGAAGGGCGAGAGCGGGCGGAGGAACCCAGGCTGTGGGATATTCCCGCGTCCGCAACCTGGTGTGTCCGTGAGGAATTTATTTGCCCGTGTGAAGGTCTAGAAAACATGAGCGACGCTGACCTCCAGAAGAGGGCGCCAGAGGGACAAAATCGTCCCCTCTTCCCTCCTCAAGTCTGTGGGCTGCTGGGTGTTGTTTAGACGGGGTGGGCACACATCCTAGGGTGCCAGTGTCCCCGGCGGGGACAAAACCCAGCCAGTGGGAATAGGAAGAGCGGGACGGGAGGGCCCCAGGGAAGCACATAGCCAAAGATCCGGAGCACCCGGTATCTGTCCAGGCGTCTGCCCTGCCCAACTGCCTAGATGCGGGGGCCCCCTCTGCCTAACTAAGTGCCTCGCGGACGCAGAATGGGGGTCGGTGGGCTGCCACGGTGCCACGCTCTGGGGGACAGACTGTCTTGCTGCAGGTGATGAGAAGCAAACTTACCCCGTGTCTGAGAAACCAGTGTCCAGCCCGGCTTCTGCAACTCCAAACGTCCTCCCCCGTCGTCCCCGATGCCCCCCTTTCCTCCCCGCCCCCACCCCCGCCCCGTGATACTTGCAAGATGGAAGGAGTAAAATAAATGATCTTTTCTCCCTATTTCTCTTTACAGAACCGAAGAATAATGAAGTTATCCTTAGCCTCCTGCTAAAGGCTTTTTCCCTTTGACATCTTAAAAGCTTGAGCGCTAGGATGGAAATCCCCAGAGCGGAGCCACGCGGGCTCCCGGGTGCCTCTTGCCTACATAAACCCGCTGGGACCTAGAGCCTCCGGCAGGACCCGTCCCTCGGCAGGGAGGATGCCAGGGGGCGCCCTGGCCCCCCACCCCCGGGGGAGATGCGTTCCTCCCTGTTGGCGCGGATGGCTCGGTTAAGCAAGGGTTTCGTAGACTTTGATTTTTCGTATCACTGAACCCAGCTCTCCACACACCCTTCACACCTGTGATATGGCCAGTGGCAGCCACCTTGTCATTTTAAAACCATGTGGCTGCATTCCAGCCCCCCAGCCCCTGCCTTTTCCTCCACTGACGCCTAACCCGGGAAAGACTTGGAGGCGTGCCAGGCAAATGAGGGAGAGACGCCGGCGCTCAGTGGCTGGCTTAGGGGTGGTCTTGTCTTCTCTCCCTGGGGACCCACGTCCCCCTTCCGGGCGCGGTTGTTGGGGGAGGGGGGGGTGAGAGATGCTATATCGACGGCGGGGCGGCAGGGAACCAGCGTCGGCTAGAGATTCGCGGTTGCCCTGACTCTTCATTTGGAGGAGGCTTGAATCCAGCCCTCTTGTTGCTAAAAGAAGCCTTTTCACTGACGCTCTTATCAAGCTCGGCCGAATCTCCACCTTCGCTTTGGCAGAAGCAATAATAATAGTTTGCTTGAAATAGATCTCTCGGCTATGCCTTTTCCTAGAAGGTTTCGTAGATAAGTTAGAATTTCGCGAGAGAATGAGAACAGTCCCAGATCCGTTTCTTGGAATTTTATATTGGACGACGTTTATACTACACCAGACTAATGTGCAGTTTTTAGATGTGTTGGTTACATTTTTTTAAGCAGTAAGTTTTTTAGAAAAACCATCGCCATCGGATGGAAGGCCGGGATGTCAACCCCTAGGCCGTGTCGCATTCCCAGTGACCCTCTCCTCTAGGCCTCGAACCTTAGGTTTAGGGCCGGAGCGCGTGACAGAACACCAGCCACGCCGAGACCTGACAGGTAGATGCTGTCTTGTTAGCACCCAGGTCCCCACACACGCAACACGACGGCCTTGTCCAGACTGGGATCTTAATGACGCCGTGAGCGGGTGACTGCCTCCCTCCGGGTCAGCTACCTAGCTAGTTAGTTGTCTGGAATCTTCCTGAACATGGCTCGTGGGCCCCAAGCCTCACGTCCTCCTGATGGCTTGGATCTGTGTATTCAGCCTTTGTTCAGCCCAATAAACTTTGAGTAGATGATCTCGGTGACCGCGTGTTTTTTCAGTTGCGCTTTGCTTTTAAGAAATCATGTCCTTCGAACCCATTAGAATTTGAGCTCTCATTCTGATGCCCGTGACCCTCTAGCAGAGTACAAGTCCTATATGTCTGCGAAAACTGCCCGAGCGCCGCGGCCGGCGAAAACACCTGAGAATTTGTGTTCACTCGGGGCGGGGGACTGTGATGCTGTCCAGGGAGCCCAACACACGTCCTTTCCGTTCCCAGTGCTTTTGTCGGACTGTAGGGTACAGAATACCTATGGCAGGACAGGAAAACGGACCGTAGAAATCACAGTTCCCAGGGCGACGAAGAGAGGCTGGGAGTTGGGACTTGAGTATTTCAGCTTCTAGATGCTGCTCTAGCCAGGAAACCACCTGCTGGATGGGAGACAAGGGGTCACCGCCGAAAGAGTCTGGTGGGACGAGACCAGACGGTGGGACCCCGCCCCGGGCAGCGCTATGGGTGCTGGGTGGCCGGAGGCCGTGCCGAAGCCCTGCCGTGCGGCGTCTAAAGCGGAGCCGGCCGCAGGGAGGGCCGGTGCGCAGGGAAACCTCGGGACCAGCGTCGCTGCCAGCACCTGGAGCGGGAACAGGCCCCAGACTGGCCCCGAGCCCTGTTTCCTGCTGCGGTTTCACCCCAGCCTTTCACAACACTCGCGCCCCTGGGAGCTGTCCTGTGCTGGTCGGATGGGGTGGCTGAGCCTCTTAAAGACAGCAGCCCTTGAGAGGCACCCGGGTGGCTCAGCCTGCTGGGCTTCCGACTCTTGATTTCAGTTCAGGTCATGATCTCATGCTTCGCGAGTTCGAGCCCGGCGTCGGACTCCATGCTGACCGTGCAGAGCCTGCTTGGGATTCTCTCTCTCCCTCTCCCGTTGCTCCTCCCCTGCTCATTCTCTCTCTCTCTCTCTCAAAATAAATAAATACGAACTTAAAAAAAGAAAAAGATAAGAGCCCTTCACTCGCAGGCCTGTGTGCAGGCCAGTTCAGGGCGCCCGCTGGCCATAAGGTATATGTGCAAAGTAGGAAGAGGCGCCCCTTCCTCCGGGCAGCGAGACCCCGCGCCAACCCTGCCCCTGGTCAAGCCTCCATACGCACCTCCGTGTGCTCCCTGCTTCCCAGCTGGTAATGGTTTCCGTCCTCATCCTTCTAAAAGGCTGTCGCTAACATGGTTTCTCGTGGGTTCTCCGGCCACGGAACGGAAACAGCCCTCTCCCCGTTACGTCCCGGGTCACGCGAGATCTAAGCTCAAAAGGCACCCATGGGGGGGGGCGCCTGGGTGGCTCAGTCGGTTGAGCGGCCGACTTCGGCTCAGGTCACGATCTCGCGGTCCGTGAGTTCGAGCCCCGCGTCGGGCTCTGTGCTGACCGCTCAGAGCCTGGAGCCTGTTTCCGATTCTGTGTCTCCCTCTCTCTCTGACCCTCCCCCGTTCATGCTCTGTCTCTCTCTGTCTCAAAAATAAATAAACGTTAAAAAAGGCACCCATGGGGAAACAGGGGCGCGGGAACTCTCAGGGTCACGTGGGTCCCCAGACCTGCAGGGAAAACCCCAGACTTAGAACCCGCTTTTAGAACCTTCGGGCTGAGGCCGTTCGGCCCAACCAGCTCGTGTGTCTTGAGTGGATTTGGCTTCAGTTTAACTTTCTTGCTGTCCCGGAAAGCAGACGCGGCACCAGCCGAGAGGGGAGCGCCCCAGCCCCGGACGCGTTGGGCGGCCCCCTGCGCTGGGCCCCCGAGCACCTTCTTCCTCTGTCCCCTCTCTTCCCCACAGAGTGCAGAAGGAGCAGCTGGAGGCCATCTTCAAGCTCATGAAGGACAACAAGGAGACGTTTGGGGAGATGACAGACGGCGACGTGCAGGAGCAGCTCCGGCTCTACGACATGTAGGCCGCCTCCGCCCGCGAGGCCCCGTCCCCGACTTGCCGGCTGCGGCAGGCTCGCTCGCTCGCTCTCGCGTCTGTAGCTGTAGAGGCGCTACACACGGGCCGTGCGGTTCCCAAAACTTAGGCATGGTTTTCCAGCAATCGGGATTATTGTCTTCGGAGTCAGACATTTTTTTTTTTTTTTTTTTTTTTTTGCTAAGAGAATGCTCCCCTACGGCTTATGTCCGTGCAGTCACAGAAGCTTCCAGAAAGCCTTCTGAGGCAGAATGAGAGCGCAGGGTTGTTAGACTGGACACTCGGGCAGCAGGACCTGTTACCTGTTTTCCCACAGCACCCCTGAATCCTTCCCACACCCATGTGCTCAGGGGGCCATGGTGGGGGGGGGCTCTGAGCGTCCTTTTAGCAAAAACTCGAACTCGACCCTCACCTTCCACACTGGAGCAGATCGGTGTTATCAGAGTTGGGACCCTCGGAGAGCTTCCCCCGCGGACGCGTGAGACTTACTTCACATATAGGCTCATCTGAGTGCTTATAATGCACCCAGGGCCACGCTAGCTGCTAGAGGTAGAAGAAATCACATATGCAACACGGGGCCTCCCTTTAAGGAGACGAAAGTCCTTCAGAGAAGCGAGGCACTTGTGCAGGGAGAGAGCAGGTCCCCAGACAGCCTTCAGTCAAACACCAGAATGACCTCACGGGACAGCGTCCGGGACACGTCAGGAGGTCAGTAAATCTCTGGGAGTCCGTGAACTCGCGAGGACGCAGATAACGGCGGGGCTCCTGCCTGCTGCACGGGCCCTGTTTCTGTTCACCCCACAGGCCGGAGAATTCCTAGCCAACCGAGCTGGAGAGGGTCTGCCCCAGAGAGAGCCCATGACGTTCTTAGAAATATTTTGTGTTTGCTGAAATAAAGCTACGTCAACACAGTGAACTCAAAGCAGCAGTGGCATTTTGCATACCTCACATTAGAGATTACGGGGATGGGGGTAAGTTCCTCTCCCTCCGTCCTCTCCTCTTGCTCCTGGAATTCTCCTCGGGCACCTCCCCTGTCTGCTCCTGCCATTCCTTTTGCTTCCTTGTGGACAATCTGCACAGGAGAGGGGTCTGTTCTCTGTTGTCTTACCCAAATGTCAGTGCTTTAAAAACAAACCAAAAAAAAGATATATATATCTTGACCCTGCTTTAAAAAAAAAAATTATGATGTTAGACTTCTTTGTTCCCTTCGTCACCTCCCAGGGACCCCTTCTATCGTGTGGCGGGCAGGGCCACCTCTCCCAGGGCCACCCTGCCAAGCGCATTGCCCTGGGACCGCTTTCTGGGCCTTCCTCTCCTCCTGCCTGGGTCCTTCAGCTCTGATCATGCCAAACAGGAAGGACTTGGTCGTGCTTGAGTCAAAATTCCGACGGCTGTGGGAAAAGTAAAGTCAAGGAATTTTCATATACTTGCATCAGCTAAGATGCTCCAACAGCAAGGAACAGAAAACTCCGACTCTGCCAGCTTATTTGTATTATTTTTAATGTTTATTTATTTTCGAGAGAGAGAGAGACAGAGTGAGAGTGGCGGAGGGGCAGAGAGAGAGGGAGGCACAGAATCCGAAGCAGGCTCCAGGCTCCGCGCTGACAGCACAGAGCCCAGTGCGGAGCTCAAACCCATGAACGGTGAGATCGTGACCTGAGCTGAAGTTGGACGCTCAACCGACCGAGCCACCCAGGCGCCCCATTAAACAAGAGGAGAGCTAGGTCACGTGAGGGGCCCAAAGGCAGACTGGCTGCAGGCCCAGACGGACAGGGCCCAAACCACAGTCCCTGTGGCTCAGTCTTCCTCACAGCGCGGGCTTTTGTGGCCGACTAGCTCTTCCCGTGGTCGCGACACGGCCGTGGGAGTTCAGGTGTCCCATCCAGAAGCAGGAAATGGGACATCTCTGGCTTGCGTCTCCAGGAGTTAGGGAACCCATGCAGGTGCCCCTCTCCCTTCCTTTCAGGTCCCAGTTGGGCAGAATATGTCACATGTCCATGCCTCAACCAATCACGGGCAAGGAGATGGGGACCCCTCCCCCGCCATGGTCGGCAGGGGTACCCGGGGCTGGGGCAGCAACACGTCACCACACGGCCATTCCGAGGAGCAGACGAGTAGACCCCATCAGGGCTCTGTGAGGATTGGGTAGGGTGGGTGGTTACTGGGTAGACACCAGGACCACTGTCACCTGGGAACTTGGGAGCCTCTGAATATGCTGCACACACCACCCTGCATACCTCCCGGGTGGTGGTTCTGCGGCCCAGGGTCCACACTGGCCCCTGGTGCTTTGAGGAAACACCACTGGCTCACTGGCGACTGTTGGCTCCGACGCCATTTCCAGATAAGCGCCCACTTCCGTTTATACCATTTCCGTCACCTCCTCTGCCTCCCTGGGACACCCTCGAGTCCATCTGTGGCCAGAAGAATCCTCTTAGGACCCATTTCAAATGGACACCCATCTGTCCCACCAGAGGTCAGCGCTGCTCCGGGGCAGGAAAATCAAAATGCCTCTGACAAAATGTACCTGCAGATTGGGAACCCGCTCTTAGAAGTTTCCCGGAGTCGATGGCGAGAACATAACGCACAACCACAAGGTAATACCCCACCCTGCAAGCTGAAGCCGAGACCCCCCTTGCTCGCAGTGGTGGCTGGAAGAAAATGACCTCGATGCCATTAGCGCCACTAAAAAGTTTAAGGTACTGGGCTGGGGTGGGGGAGGCGGGGGACGGGGAGGCAGGACACTGCCGGCGTGTCACCGCCACGCAGGGCCCACAGCCGCAGGGGCCGACAGAGGCCAATCTGAAGAACTCTCTCCAGTCTGGGGCTTGTGACTTTCGGCGCCCAGAGTGTCTGCCCAGCCGCTCTCAGTGCCTCCCCCTGCACCCCCTCGCCACTCTGCCCTGGAGCCCTGCGCACAGGCTGGCCTTACTACCTGTCACAGATAGCAGTGGCTTGTCACCCATCGCAACCATCACCACCTCCAGTGGGTTCAAAACCAAGTCCACAGACAGTTCACTTCTATTTACCAAACCCCGTTTGCTAGAAACCTTTCAGGGCTACCTTCCTTCAAAATGTCCATTGTAACTGCCACCATCGAGACAAACTTAGGTGTCTCCTCCCTTCCTGCACTGAAAATGGCCAGGGTGAAGAAAATGTGCAATCTAAGCAGCTTTAAGAGTAGCCTAAAACCTAAAGTAAACTTGCTGTGAACTCCTTGTGCACACAGCTCTTTTTTCCCCCCTTTTTGGGTGATTTGTTCTTGTTCTCGATTTTTTTTTTTTTTTAAAGTAATCTCAGGGAGTCTGGGTGGCTCATTTGGTTAAGCAGTCCACTTTGGCTCTCAACTCTGTCTCTCAAAAAATGAGTAAACGTTGGGGCGCCTGGGTGGCGCAGTCGGTTAAGCGTCCGACTTCAGCCAGGTCACGATCTTGCGGTCCGTGAGTTCGAGCCCCGCGTCAGGCTCTGGGCTGATGGCTCAGAGCCTGGAGCCTGTTTCCGATTCTCTGTCTCCATCTCTCTCTGACCCTCCCCCGTTCATGCTCTGTCTCTCCCTGTCCCAAAAATAAATAAACGTTGAAAAAAAAATTAAAAAAAAAAAGAGTAAACGTTAAAAAAAAAAAAGTAATCTCTACATCCAACGTGGGGCTTGAACTCACAACCCCAATATCAACAGTTGCTTTGCCCTACTGACTGAGCCAGCCAGGCACCCCATTTAAAAAAATTTTTTTAATGCTTTTAATGTTTATTTATTTTTGAGAGAGAGAGAGAGAAAGAGAGAGAGAGAGAGGCAGAGCATGAGTGGGGGAGGAGCAGAGAGGGAGACACAGAATCCAAAGCAGGCTCCAGTCTCTGAGCCATCAGCACAGAGCCCGACGCGGGGCTCAAACTCACAAACCGTGAGATCACGACCGGAGCCACAGTCGGACGCTTACCCGACTGGGCCACCCAGGCGCCCCTCAATTTTTTTTTTTTTTAATGTGAAAATGTAAATCAGTTTCCTAAGAACAGATCACGTTGAGCAGTTTTGTTTTTCCCAGTTTCACTGTGAGAAAATGCATTTGTCCAAAGGACCTCCGATTGACAGAGCCCAAGTTTATCCTCTGGGCAGCTTTCCGGGCCTGGAAGACCCGGATGTATACTCGGGTGTAGACTTGGCCAGGTGCAGGCAGGCCAGGCCACGTGCTTCTGGAAGGCCGCGGCATCCCTTGCGTGGAACCAGGCAGTGCTGGGGAGGAGCGTCGAGAAGCTCCGCCTCTGAACCCGTGTGTGTGTGTGTGTGTGTGTGTGTGTGTGTGTGTGTGTGCGCGCGCGCGCGCCCTTGCCTGGGCGTGCTGAGACCCACCCTCTTCCCCTGGGCCCCTCATCCTCCCTGTCAGGGATCCACATCCAGTGTCTCCTTCTCACGGTGGAGGGGAGGTTTGTATTACCTAGAAGCAGAGACAAGTCATTTCCTTTCTGCCCTCCTCATCTTCCCCAGGAGCCCCGGAGAGGGGCAGGATGCCGGAAATCCTTAGGGCAGTCTGCAGCGTGGCCCCGCTTGGGAGACCCTGACGCCCACCCAGCATGCCTGCGCTTTCCCGACCTAATGTTGGGTCCCGGGAGAAGAGGGGCCAAGCTTGGCAAATTTCTACTGTCACAGATTTTGGTTTGGTTTATTTTTGGGTTTCTTTTACTATTATTATTACTATCACTTTATTTGTATTCTATCCCCACCCCCACCCCCCACGGCTTCCACCAGACTCACCACCACCACCTCTACCCCTTAGGAGCAACTATTTTTATTGTGCTGGTTCATCCATTCCTTGCTGATGGACATTCGTATAGTTTCCCATCTTTTGTTAATTCACATAATGCCACTGTGAATAAAGCTTTGTGCACATGGCTTGTATCCTGTGTGTGCAAGTGTATTTTCAGAGTAGGTCCGTAAAAATGGATTGCTAGGCCGATTGTGAATACATGTTATTTTGTGAGATCCCCACCATGGCCTCCAGGGGGCTGGGCCAGTTTGCCCACCGCCAGCTCCATGCCTAACTCAGTATCCTGTCAAACAAAGTTCCTGCCAATCTGACAGGTCGGAAAGGCTAGCTCAGCGAAGTTTTTTTTT